AATAGAAAACAATAATTTATTGCTTAATTTTATTCGGGCCAAGAAGCTTTTTTTTTAAGACAAAAAAGGCGATATATGCTTTTTTTGCTAGAATAGTGATTTAGTCTTTTATGTTTTCCGTAGTTCATTAAGGTTTACAGAGTTCATATGTCGTTTTCAACCATCTACTTCTGGGTTTCAGGTTTTTGGATATGATAATCCGCATTAATGGTCTGTTTCAAACATTTCTTGGGCAGTGTTTGAAATTTCTCAAATTTATACACTTTCTCTAGGAATCAAAATAATTCAAAAGAAAAATGATTTTTTTATGTTAACTCAATGATATCTGTTTGCAAGTTTTTCTGTGCCTTTTTTTGCTTCATCTTTCAAATGCTGAACATGCGGTTTTTTTTTTTGCAGAAGGTAAAACGATATTTAGTCGGTGAAATAGTAAAGGTGATTTGTAAAGAGAGAAAGCGGGCAAACGGGGGTAAGAAAAAAAAAAGGGAAATGAAAGACGTAAATGGTAAAAAGGATTTTTTTTTCTTTCCTTGAATAAAAATTAATGTCACTATATGCAGAAGGGGGAAAAAAAAGGCAATGAATTGAGTGTAACTTTTCATTTATTTTCTTTTATAACAATAAGAAATTGATGAAAAAAAAACAATTTTTAAGAATTTTTTATTGTTAATTTCAGAAAAACGAGAAGAAAAAAGATTGTTTTTTTTCTTCAAATTTATTACTGGTTTAAGAAAACAGGAATAAGTAAAGTTTTTTCTTTTTTCTATAATCGGGGAAATACCATTTATCGTTCATTTGTTCAGTTAAATCTGTTGTTTTTGTTGTTAGTTCTATCGGAGGGGGGCTGCTGGAATGAGAAGAGGTATGCGGTGGAAAAGTGGAAGAAGTCATGAAACCATAAGTTGTTTCGTACATTTTATTCAACTATTTATTTAGGTTAGTTTTCCCTATTCTTCCAAACGGGGTGGTTTTGGGAGGTGGGAAACAAAAAAAAAAAAAACCGAGGAGCGAGCGAGGGAAATGGGGAAAGAGATGAAGAATTTCAGAACCGGAAGTTGATCGTTCGATCCAGTTGCTATCTTCAGTTATCTAAGGATTCTGCAAACCTCAGCGGGTTGCAGCCCGGTGGACTAAGGTGACAGTGGGGGGAATTAACATTCCCATACGGTTTAAATTGGAACCTGTTCCGCTTTTTTAAACTTTATTTGTTTAGTTGTTTTGTTGACTGTTTTTGGTGAATAGTTTTTGGTCAAAAAAAAAAAATACACTGTTTATAAAGCAGTTTTCTTTTGTTGTTACCTTTTATCAGCAAAATATTTATTGAGATTTTCTGCTAACAGCTACCGCTGTTATTTTTTTTAAATGAGTTTAAAGAAAACAAAACTTTTTGTTTCGGTTTTTTGTTCAGCTAAACTGAACAGAAAAAAAAAGAATCATTATTATTATTGCAGTAATTATAGCATTAAATTGTAGTTATTTTGCTGTTGCTATTAGTTGGTGGTTTATTTTTTTTGATGGTGAAAAAATTTGCGAGTTCAGAATTTGTTTCTCCTTCTTTTTTTTCTTCTCCCCCTTCTTTATCTTTGAACAAACAATAACCATTACCACAGTCACCAAAACAAAAAAAAAAAAATACTCGTTTTGCATTGGGTCTGCTTTGAGTTTTCTTGTTTCTTCAGTTTTTTTCTTGCTTTCATTCTTTCTCTTTTTCTTCCTCCGGTTTTTTCTTTTCCTTATGTTGTTTCTGTCTTGATTACTGTCGCTTTTTTTTTCTGGTCTGCGATAACGATGAAGATGGTGGTGTAATAAAATTTTGTCAGAAAAATTTCTGACTTTTTTTGAAGCTTTAAAAAATTGGAGAAGTTTATATATAATACGGAATCATAAAAGCCTATACGGCTCATTGTTTCTGTTGGCATTTCTTTATTGTGTGGCTTTCTGAAGTTCGTTAACCATCCTCAATTGATCATTTTTACAAATTTTTCTGAAAACGACGGGGGAAATTAAGCAGAACAGGAATGGGGAAGGGGCAGAAAGTTGAGGAAGAAGAAGGTGGAATTAGAAGTGGCTGTAGAGATATGGTTTAAATTGGAAACAACTGTCTGTCTTCTTGATTCCTGTTTATCTGTCATCATCATCATCTGTTAAGATCAATTGTGGTTTATCAGTTGTGTAGCAGCAAATTGCTAGTTTTAGACATTAGTGTTATATGGTCATTGCACTTCTGAACTGAACTGTGTAATCAACTGAAGCGAAAAACACTATCGAAAAATAAGATGAATTTATGAAAAATTGAATAAATTTTACAAACAAACATCTTTTTTGTTGTTTTTAAATGATTATGTATTTTGACTTATTGTTTTTGGTATAAGATGACAACGGATTTGCGTATACATCGTATGACAGCAGTGACGACGGATATTGTTCCCAACACGAATAATTGGATTAGTTGCAAATGGTTTTCAGTGGGAATCCATTGGGTCTGTGTGTGTGTGTCGGTTGGATGGTTAGCAAGAAAAAAAAAAAAAGAAGAATAAATAAATAAAAATTCTTTGTAATTCATAACTGCTGCAAAAGCTGTGGTGGTTACTTCTGGTTTTTGCGGTCAACAAAATAATGCTTTTTTTTTTGCTTGGAAACAGCAGATATATGTATTTAAATTTTTAGTGTTTAGAAGAGTGGAGGAAAAAAAAAATTAGCTGTTTATCTAGATTGATGCTTGTTTGGTTGGTTTCATATGTCTGTGTCGTCTGTGGTCATCGATCTTCTTCATCTTTGTAACAACAACAACAACAATAACAACAAAAAAAAAAAAA